CTTGCTAATTTCCTGAGATACCTTCATGGACAGAACCAGATTAAGGTTTTATGGTCCATGCCTATATCTCTAACCAGGTCAGATTGACAGAAAATTAACCATCAAACTAATTGTCTGAACAGAGAATGGACAGTAAATGCATATATTTGCTGATATTGTCATAGGGATAGAACATATTTAGGCACTTTGAGCTGCATACTTAAGGTTCAGCTGGAAGTCACTAAGTCTCTTAAGAGTATGTAAAACATTTAATTTCAGCCATTTTATTTCTTTCCTGAGATACTTCCATTTTCATAAAATGATTTCTCAGAGAAAGAAAACCCCTCACTTGAATCTTCAACTACAGTATCACACTTCCCTAGTTAGTCCCCGTGTTGTTGTCACTCTTTCCCCTACTCTCCTCCATTTCATTATTGCATACCGATGTTAAGCCTAATCCTACAGTATTGGTTTAATTATATTATGTTCCAGCCACATTCTGCTGATAGTTTCTTCAGTTATTTATAGAATTCAGAGCTCTTTAATGCAGCCCTAAACTGTCAGCCACTTTGTAGGACTCATGGTCCAAAATGATTTGTCCTTGTCTCTGTCTGGGACATCCTTTTGTATCTTCACTATCAAAATATTATTCCTCCAGGGTCTGACTTGTAACAGTATTTTCACAAGCCTTCTTTGCACAGATTTAAGTTCCCTTTGATCTTTTTGCATTTTTTTTTAATCAGCCCCAGTGGCATATGAATGTGTCATCTTATAATTGTGCTTTTTTAATGCATGTCTTAATTTTTTAACTAGATTTATTTTGGATATGCTTTTTACTTTGGATAGAAGATGAGAGTAGAGAGATAGAACTTGCCTTCTTTTGGCATATTCTTTAGACCTTAAGGTACCCTTTTTTATGCCCTTATGTAAGCCATGACTTTATAAAGTGCAAATCATTCTTCAGCCTTCAGGTAATACTCAAGTCGAAAGTACTGGTTGAAACAAACAGGAAGCAAGACCCCTGCACACTTTTTCCCCCCACTTTCGTCCATTAAATTGATTCTTATGCATGTTTTGAAACTGAGGCAGAATAAGGTTCACATCAAACTGGAGTTGTTTAAATACAACTGCCTTCTTTGTGTACTTCCCTTTACCACAGTGTGCTTAGTAATAGCAACACCTCTCATACTTAGCATAAAAAAAGTCTCTAAAGATAAGACCAGTTTGAAGGTACCTAGCTAGAAAGTGGAGAAACGGGTGAGTCTTCCATGTTATGTTTCAAATTGTCTGCAAGCTTCAGTTCAGTGCTTGTTCATTACCCGGTTCAGCAAACTCTTAAACACAAAAGCCATTAAGCCCTGACAGGTACAGGAGTAGGAATAACAAAATATCAGTACCTGTATTGTCAAGAAGTTAGATTGTGAATACAATTGTAGTCCTGGCTTAGGGAATTCTCTAAAATGGGAAGCCAGCACAGGATGGGCTACTTAAAAAAAGATTTCTTTGGCATCTGGGTATTAAGAGCTTGGGGTTAAAAATAGAGAAAAACTTCTAGAATAGACATGGGAAATATGGAGGTGAAGAAACTTCATAAAGTAGCATTTGGATCAGCAGACAACTGTTTTTGGCTCCTAATCTGGCGTAATGTCTAGATGAGTTAGTCCAGGTGGAAAGCACAGATGGAAGGTTGTGAAGTGTTAACTTTAGAGAAATAAGCTATATTTTCCTTAAGACCAAAAAAGCAAGAATGACAGACATACGTGTCACTTAGGTTTAAGGAGTCATGTATAATAGAAAGATCTAATTATTTTTGAAATGCATGGTTTAGCCACAGAGAAAAATGCTAAATGCTTTTGTATTAGCTGCTTTTTATTTTCTCTACATTAAGAATAGTGGGTATATCTAATGTTCATACATTTAAGTAGGGAGAAAAATGGTCAATAACTTGATTTAAAATTTTTTTAATTAAAATCCTGGTTTCTATTTATGAGAATATTCTGTTAAAGACTTGATTTTAAGATCACTTCTCAAAATGAGCTTTATGAAATTATGCAGTTGCTTGAAGATAAGAATTATGAATTTGTACCATTTATATTTCGGGTTTGTCTTTGACTTAGATGGATGGGTGTTTATTGTAGTTTTGTTAGTGAGCTTTCAGTGCATATCAATGTAGAGATGAGATGTGGTCTTGAGAATTAGTTTATTGCTTTCCTTTTTGTTTCTGACTTTTCTGTTACTTTAGCTCTTTCTGCTCATATAAAGTGTCACTTTTCCTTAAACCTAGATAAGTAAGATTTATATTAAAAATCTGCTAAAATTATTAGTATTTGACATTTGTATTAGCAAGAACTGATTTTGAAGTTCCTGACAGCTCCCTAGCACAGATTTGCCTCTGAGGTTTAGTAAAGGAAAGAAGGAAAGGGGGAGGGGGTATGCAAAATAAACAGGAAAAAGGAAAATACAACTTTTTTTTTTTTTTAAAGATTTATTTTATTTATTTGTACAAGCACTGGGTACAGTCAGAAGTGCGGGAGGGTGAGAGAATTCACCAGAGCCAGAGCGGGGAACAGAGCAGGCAGAAGGACTGAAGTACACTGCTGAGGGGAGCAGCGGGCGGCAGGAGAGGTCTGCGCGCCTTGTGGGACCCTCGCTGGCGGCCAGGGATGGAACCGGTGCTGCAGAGGCTGCGGGCAGCTTCGCAACCCAGCGCTCAACCGCTGTGCCACCAGGGAGGCCCAATACAACTTATTTTATTCATCATTTACCTCTAGTATTATTTATGTTTTATGCACTTATTGCCACCACCAGCCCCATCAGTTAAAAAAAAAATTCCCAGGCCTCCCCTGGTGGCACAGGCAGTTGAGCACTGCACTGTGAAGTTGTCCGCAGCCTCTGGAGCGCTGGTTCCATCCCGGCCACCGGCGAGGGTCCCACGTGGTGCAACAGACCTCTCCTGTCTCGTCCACTGCTCCCCTCAGCAGTGTATTTCGGTTGTCTGCCTGTTCTGTTCCCCACTCTGTCTGTGGTGAATCCTCTCACCCTCCCGCATCTGGTCTGAACCCCGGTTCTTGTATAAATAAATAAATCTTTTTAAAAATTTCATTTCCACTGTGAGCTTTCAAACAAATATTTGAATGAATATGACTGGTGTCTAATTCCCCTATGGAAAATAAAGAATGCAAGAGACAAAGAACAGCAGCTTTGTACAGTTTCAGATATAATGAGGACAGACTAGCTCTGCCTCTGCCATGCTAATGACACATCTATTGCTTTTAGGCTAGAGGGCAATCTCAGCTAGGTAGCACAAGCTCTTAAGTCCAGTTCTCTTAAGTCTTTTATGCTCAACATAAGACTCTAAGAGCATATTCATTCTATCTGAATGTGGGACCGATATGAATAGGTCTGAATTTAAAGGTAACTGTGCTTTAGAGACTTCCTTTGTTTCCCTTTTTGGTATCATCCTGAAATTCCTGCAATTTTGGTAAGTGATGCCATTAAGGGGTAGTAATAAGTTGTCCATGACCACATTAGATCATTTTTTAGGGATAGCAGACCAGCACACCTGTATAGTTACTTAATTTTGTGTTTTCTTGGAATACATAATTTTCTAATATTAAATTCCATGCTCTTATTTTTAGCTTAATTTTCCTTTAAGTCATCAGCATAGCAACAGAACATCATATTAGAACAAACTTTTAAAAAAGAATTAGCACTAAAAGCACCAGTTATCTACCAGACTGATAGTTGTTAATGCTTCTGATACTGATTTGGGGTTGAGAGGGAGGTTAAATCTTTTTCTGTCTTTTGAATAGTTTAAAAACAGATTTTTCAAATTGGTATTAGTTTTTATTGGAGTTGCAAAGAAATTACTCCAGTCTACCTTTGAAATAACTTGCCTATTATTTTATTTTGTTTTGTATATTTTGTTTTTTAGACATTTTAAACATTGACCCATTTTATTTCCAAGAAGAATATGTAATTAGATAAATTTGAAATAAAAATGGTAGTGTTTATTTTTAGGAAAGTACCCTTACCAGAATCATAGAATTGGAATCATGTATTGCACTGATTCCCAATCCTAGTAGATTTTCTTTGAGTTACTGAGAACAAATATATATTTAGTCACAGTAATTTCAAATAATAAAATTAAGATAAGATTCCTCTTTGGTATTACTGGGTTTTTGCTTTTTTTTTTTTTTGGTAATCTGAAACTAAGCAAAAATTGATTCTCTTTATTTTTTTTTTTTTTTTAATAGAGGCATGTTTTATTTATTTATTTATTTGTTTGTTTGCTTGTTCGTTTATACATGCACTGGGTACAGTCAGAAGCGCGGGAGGGTGAGAGAATTCACCAGAGCCAGAGCGGGGAGCAGAGCAGGCAGAAGGACCGAAGTACACTGCTGAGGGGAGCAGCGGGCGGCAGGAGAGGTCTGCGCGCCATGTGGGACCCTCCTCTGGTGGCCGGGGAGCAGCCGGGGATCGAACTGGCGCCGCAGAGGCCGCGGGCAGCTTCGCAACCCAGCGCTCAACCGCTGCGCCACCGGGGAGGCCCAAAAATTGATTCTCTTTAAAAAAAAAAAAGGGACATGTAATTATTGCTTAAATAAATACAACTTGGCGTGAAATGGAACAGGAGTTAAAATAAATGATCTTTGCTTTCTGCAACATTCTGGAATCACTGATACAGTTGCCTTTCTTTCTTAAATTAAGTAGTAACATTAAAGAACTTGTCCAAAGTCTCAAGCATCAGTGACAGGCTGGTATAAAATTTAGCTGCTTTGGTCAGAGGAGTGTTTGGCTGCCATTCCCACCTTAAGAGGGACAGTGGGGACATTTGACCAGAGTGGGGTTTCATCTTTATTTTGTAATTAGTCCATGGGCTCATTATTTGAATAGAGGAAAACTTAACCAGAGGAGAAAATTCCTATGTTTTGTAGGGCTTAAGAATTTTTTTAATGTAGTAATACTAAGTGATACATGCTTTTCATAATGCCCTCCTTTCTCCCCTTCTGTTTTGTTAGGTGGTATGGTCAGGAAAAAGACTACAATGTGCTAGTTATGGATCTTCTTGGTCCCAGCCTTGAAGACCTCTTCAATTTCTGTTCAAGAAGGTTCACAATGAAAACTGTACTTATGTTAGCTGACCAGGTATGTGAAATTTTTATGAAAATACCCATACTATTTAGATATAATTTGAATGGCTGTAAACCAGTACTATAGTCCTGTGTATCACTGTTTAATCTTATGAGCACCAGGGAAAAAAAAATTTAATAGTGTGTTCTCATTCATGTATATTACCTGTAAATGTTTGTCTATGAGTATTGGGCAAACCCAGAGTATATTGATTTATTTCCCACCTGTAGACTAGGAGTTTTAAAGCTGCTCCATCAGATGGAAATATATTTGTTTTAGCATTGAATATAACAGGTTTCCTTGTAAAATTTTTGCCTGAAGAATGCCTTCAGTATGATTTAAAGATTAAAAATATATATGTATATAGTGAATTTTTAGTTAATTAAGCTATGTGTTTTGTGGGACCCCTGTGAAAGCTGTCTTTGGGGGGAAATAAGGAATTGAAATAATTTAAGGAATTCTGACCAAGTACATATTTTTTGAAGTAATGGATTCTCAATTTGTGGTAGTACTTAAAACCCGGAAACTTTTGAAGATGTGAATTAGATGCATTGGCTGGAGGTTAGATCAAATTATTTTATTTATTTATGTGTTTGTTTGTTTATTTATTTATTTATTTGAAAGATTTATTTATTTATGCACCACTGGGTACAGTCAGAAGTGCGGGAGGGTGAGAGAATTCACCAGAGCCAGAGCGGGGAGCAGAGCAGGCAGAAGGACCGAAGTACACTGCTGAGGGGAGCAGCGGGCAGCAGGAGAGGTCTGTGCGCCATGTGGGACCCTCCTCCGGTGGCTGGGGAGCAGCCGGGGATCGAACCGGCGCTGCAGAGGCTGCGGGCAGCTTCTCAACCCTGCACTCAACCGCTGTGCCAGCGGGGAGGCCCAAGATCAAATTATTTTAAAACCAGAACTCAAGGTTTTTTGATTTTAAGAAAACAGCAAAGTTAGTTTTTGGGGTTTTTTAAAAAGATTTATTTATTTATGTATACAGGAGCTGGGGTATAGGCCAGAGGTGTCAGGGGAAGGGGGTGAGAGGATTCACCAGAGACAGAGTGAGGAGCAGAACAGGCAGGTCTACTGAAGTACACTGCTGAGGAGAGCAGCGGGCAAGTTAGGAGAGGTCTGCTGCGCCATGTGGGTCAGCTCCCTGGCCGGCAATCGAACTCGCTGTAGTTGCTGCCAATAGCTTCATAGTGCTGAGACTTAACCCCTTGCACCATCAGGGAGGCCCAGCAAAGTTAGTTTTAAGAAAATTAAGATGGAGGTGATGAGGTCAGGAGCAAGCCCTTGAGGAAATAGATATATAATAAAAGCTAATAGGTAAGAACTGGTAATTTTTTATTTGGGCAATATATCTTTTAAGCGCAGGGAAATACTGGGAACACTTCACTGTCTTTATAAAAATGCTATGGGAGAGGATGTTATTTCTTGAATATACACTGGCTGTCATCGTAAAGTAAAATGAGGTGATAAACAGAATTGCCAGTCGGTACCTACTTCCTAAGCATAACATAAAAACCACTAAATGGCTCAAACAAGAGTTAATATTTTAGAGACTCAGGGACATATGGCTGTCATAAAATGACATTTAACTAGCACTCGGAAATACAAAGAATAACTGGTCCCTTCCCTTCAGGAGCGTAGAGTTTAGAGAAGGATGGGGAAACATGATATTCAGGATTCTGTGATAGAACTTTATGTTGGGTATACTAGTAACACAAGAAAGAGTATATAGATCAATGAGGGTTGCCGCTGAAAGCGTTTGACCAAGGAGACAACAGCCAAGTCTTCCTCTGTAGATGACTGGCAACACTCGAAGTAGTTTCTGTAGTTTGTGCCATTAGCCATCTTTTGCTCAGTCTTTTCCCAGTAAATTATTAGTCCCAGTTGAATGGTAGGTATTACTTGGCTGGGACAAAAATGCTTGTATGAAGTGAGCTAGATGTTTTTAGTAACTTTATTGTACAAATTACTGCTGTATCTAAAGACAGTATTTGAACATTGTGTGTGTGTGTATATATATATCTTCATCATCATTAAATGTATAAGTTGTTTAAGCTAGAAATTACAGGTTTGGTTTCAAAAGATAGTTATCAAGATAAAGGAATAAGATTTAGAATCTTTATATCCATGGGAATGAAAACTCTGAGGGAAATGGGGCAAATAAAAAATAGAATCCTGACATATATTACTAGAAAAGCAAGAACACATGGGTAGAAAGATAAACTGGCCATCTTAAACATATAAAAATGCAATTCTAAATATCTCACAAAAATGATAGGCACATTTGGTAATTAGAAACTTACAGAAGAGATACCATAGTCAAATCAAAAAAAGACATCAAAAATTTTAATTTCTTTATATGACAGACAAAAGATTGTCTATTGTGGGCCTCCCCTGGTGGCGCAGTGGTTGAGCACTGGGCTGCAAAGCTGCCCGCAGCCTCTGCAGAGCTGGTTCGATCCCTGGCCACCAGCGAGGGTCCCTCATGGCGCGGAGACCTCTCCTGTCGCACCCGCAACTCCCCTCAGCAGTGTGTTTCATCAGTCTGCCTGTTCTGTTCCCCACTGTGGCTCTGGTGAATTCTCTCACCCTCCCGCACTTCTGACTGTACCCAGTACTTGTATAAATAAATAAAATCTTTTAAAAAAAAAATTCTTAAAAAAAAAAAAAGATTGTCAATTGTATTGAAAGAATTCTTTAACATTGAAAAGGACAAGCCAAAAGGATAATGGACAGTATATATAGATCAACAGTTTATAGAACAGTAAATCCAAACGGTCAGTAAAAATGAGCAGGTTTTCAAATTAAGTGTGACGAAAGTGCAAGGGAGATCAATTCCTGTCAAAATGGCAAAAATTTGGAAGGACCCAAAGTGACTTTGCTAGTGGGGAAAAAATAGCATCAAATGCTACTACTGGAAAAATTGTTAGAGCACTGTTTTGAAAGCCAGAGGCAGTCTGACAAGAGACCTATCAAAATGAAAAATAGACACATCCTTCAATGTAGCAATTCTTCCTTTATTATAATAAAATCACCGGTAGTTAAAAAGTTATATATCTACGTATATTAATACATTATTACTGTTCATAGTGGGAAAATACTGGAAACAATATGTGAGTGGGCAGTGATTTGGGGAAACATACCCATACATAGAATATTTGTAACCATTAAAATAAAACAGTAAGACCTGTACCATTTGACTTGACATAATTTTCAAGTTCATTGAGAAAAACTTGTTAGAATGACATATTTACTATTCAGTTTTCAAACATGTTATGCAAATGTGGAGAAAAAAGGATCAAAGTAGAAAAAGCATGCAAGAAAGGAAATCAGGGCCTCCCCGGTGGCGCAGCAGTTGAGCGCTGGGCAGCAAAGCTACCCGCCGCCTTTGCAGCGCCGGTTCGATTCCCGGCCGCCGGGCAAGGGTCCCACATGGTGCGTGGACTTCTCCTGCCGTGCCTGCTGCTCCTCTCAGCAGTGTGCTTCGTCAGTCTGCCTTTTCTGCTCTCCGCTCTGACTCTGGTGAATTCTCTCACCCTCCCGCACTTCTGACTGTACCCAGTGCTTGTATAAATAAATAATTTTTTTTTTTTTTTTAAGAAAAGGCGGGGGGAATCAATTGCGTGTATGTCCTCATTTATATAAATGTTGTATACTGCCAATTTCCAGGAATACTTAGAAAATATGTTTAATTTAAAACTAATTAACAAGAATAAACTGAATAAAATATTTCTAACATAATTACATTTGATAGCTGTTAATAGCTTTCAGTTGGTCTATAAACCTTGCTCCCAAGTATCTGTGTGTTTCTGAGTTTATGTGTTTTTAAAAGCAATGAAATATGTTATACTTGTTTTAAGTAGGTTGCCATGGGGCATAGGATTAGGGATGGAAAGTGAAGATTTAGCTTTTACTTTTCATTATCACGACTAAAACAATTCTAAAACTATTATTTTTACAGTTTAAATTTTATAATTTAATAGGAATTGGTGCTACCACCAATTCTTCCCATCAGGGTTAGAGGCTGCCATCAACAGTGGGAGAATAAGCCAAAGAACAGTGTAATTTTATGCTGGTTTATGCTTACGTTGTCAGTCTGGAGACAAACGGGGAACCTAGTTGCCCTTTTCGTTTAATTTTGTCACTCTGTTATTTTTAACTCTAAAGTTATTAAGACATACCTGTGATTTTGAGAAAATAATTGAGATATGAAAACAATGTGTTGTTTTAAATATCACTTAACTCAGCTATCTCTCTCCCCCTCTTTTTTTTTCCAGATGATCAGTAGAATTGAATATGTGCATACAAAGAATTTTATACACAGAGACATTAAACCAGATAACTTCCTAATGGGTATTGGGCGTCACTGTAATAAGGTTAGTCAAATGTTCTTTGCATGAAAGAACAGAGTAAAATATCTCCAAGAATTGCTTTGGTGAATTTTCAGTCTTTAAAAGTTATAGTAAATTGAATTTGCTATTGATAATTGCTTTGAAAGATTGTGCTAGAAGGATAATCACTTAACTCTATTAACTTAGTAACTGGAAATAAATTTTCTCCGACTTACCCAACAAAAGTTATTTGTACAGAAGTATAAAATTTCCAAGGGCACTATAATGAAATGTAATCGTCTACGTTATTTAACTATATTCAGTAGTTTATCTTATTTTTCATTCATTTGAATAGTGAAACCCCATATACTTTTCTTCCTGAATGCTAAAAATCATATTTTAACCTTTGTCTCTGAAGTGTGGGTTTTGGTAATATATGTGCTTGTGCCAGTGTGGGAACCACTGACCCATCTGTCACCATGGCGTTAACATTGCTGATTTAGCATGGTTGATAATGAAAAATCTTCAGTCCTTGGATTTGTGTACTCAAAAGGATAACTTTTAGACTTGCTGCAAAAGTCAATGACAGTTTCTTACTTGGGTGCTAAGTTGGGTGGGTTCTCCCACTTCTATTTCCCCCTTTGAAGAAAAATACAAGTGATGCATTCATACAACAAAATTGGTGTTCATTGGGGTCTCAGAGTGGTTGAACTTACGGGGTAATTGGGTTTAGCTAGTGGCGCATGATTGTAGTTAGAAACTAATTGTGTTAATTTTTCCTGCAATGATTAGTTTAATGAGTGAATTGCTTTATTTATCAATTCAATGTTGAGCTCGGGCAGACAGGCAGCATTGGCAATGCACTAAGCATATTATGATCTGATGATCACATAGAAATTTTCAACTTCAGGACAACTTGGGGCTTTCTGTTTTTTTTTTTTTATGGTTTTTTTTTTTTTTTGTTTTGTTTGTTTTGTTTTTGGAAGGAAGATTCCCCTTTGTTCTATTAAACCATTAGGGACTGTTTGGTGTTTTTAGGTCTAGCTCTAAATGTTTACCTTTGTTTGCCTGTGTGAATGCCAACTCAGAGCCATTACTATCAGAACTGGTGTTATTTGTTAACGCATTAGACATTAATAATGTTGGTCTAATCAGGTTTTTGGAAATTTTTGAAGTTGACTTTTAATGAAAGATACTCAAATCTGCATGTAATTTATCCTGCCACCCCCTAGTTGCATCCCCCCCCCCCAACCTCCCCCACTTAATGTAGTGTCTCTTTAAAGCAACCAGGTTCTTAGTTCTTTGAAAAGCCTGGTAACTTCATTGGGGAAAAAAAAAAATCACTGTTCTTCATTTTGGGGGCAATTCTGTCTATTTAATTCAAATCTTTTGGCCATTTCCCAACCTTCTCCTTCCCATTTTCTTTCCCCTGAAGATCCATCATCCTCATATGAGCTGTGATCTGCATAATTGACATTGCAGTACATGATTTTTGCCTTAAAATTCAGTGATGGCCTAGATCATGTCTTTGTCTTTTTCCCCTTTTTAAAATACCTTGTAGTTGTGTTAGGAAACCCATATTGCCTAGGGTTGAAGACCTGGATCTTGTGTCCCGTAGAGATGATAAAAAAAATATTGTGCTTGCTGCTTGCTGTTGTGCAGATTCAGAAACTAGGGTAGAAGCACAGTGTCTTACTAAACTAACATTCAAATTCTAAATGTTGTTGAGCATTTTATTTTAGATTAGTGTTTTGTTTATGTAGTCGGTTTTTAGTGTTTTTATGTATTGTAATTTGATAAATGCCAGTTGTATGAGACTGGATTCTCTGGTCAGCTGGTTCCAGCAGTTTTCTGTTCATGGGAAAAATGTTTGGGGGGGTGATTGAAGTTGATTTTTTAAAGAAAAATTTCTTACTTGGAAAATTGTTCTGAATTTGATATTTAGGAGTGGCCACTCCAATCTTAGTGAATTTGCTCATCTCTTCCAGTAATCAGCCCTGCATGCTTATGAAAATAAATTTTAAGGTGACTAAATGCCTTCTACCTCTTCCTTACTGAAGATTTTTTTCCCCTGTATAATCTTTTTTGGGGGAAGGGCAGATTGTGGTACCAAAGACAACAGATCTAAATTCCCCATTTTTTATTAAAAAATTAAAAAGCCAAATGTCACCATTGCTATATCCCTGTTTCAGGCAGTGACACGATATAGTGGCATTTAAAAACCTGAGTATTTTCCAGAATTCAAATGTTCTTGAGCATGTGATTCTCATTTGGAAAACTGAGAAGCTACAGTGCTTGGTGGAAGAAGGATGGCATTTGGCTACCCTGTTCTTTCTCTAATGCCTCGGTGTTGCCTGTCTGCGCCGGCCATTGTTGCAATGTAAGCAATACTGTTTGATGCACTGCCACCCTCTATTGTCTGTTTAGTGTTTAGAATCTCCAGTGGGGAAGAGGAAAAGAAGCATGACTGTTAGTACTTCTCAGGACCCATCTTTCTCAGGATTAAACCAGGTCTGAAACTGTCTCCTATTCCAACCTCAATCCCAAATTCATGTGCTTTTCTTTTTTATTGTTTTACTTTGATTATTTTTATTTTTGTTTTAATTCTGGAGAATGTAGATCTTGTTCAAGCACCTCTTACGTTGGCATTATTCAGACATACTTGGCAAACATATAACATTACTGAGATGTTTCTTTGTGGCTTTGCTCAAAGCTTGTAAAGTTTAGAGAAAACTTAAATGACATCAGGATTATATTTAGCGCTCTGACATCCACATGAGGGAACGATATGTTGGTCTAGTATTGAAATTCTTTATCTAATGGTACACTTGAGATAGAGTATTTAGTTTTTTTAAATGTATTTGGGGTTGCAGAACTTAATACATGATACATATCTAAGTTCAGTTGCATCAGAGCTGTGTAATGAATATATATATATATATATATATATATATATATATATATATATATATATATATATATATATATATACTGGCTTACCTCTAATCCCCTTTCCTAGTGAAATTTGGGTAAGTGTAGATTAGTTTTCAAATCTAGTGTTTCTAGAATTGATTTACCTTATTCTCAAAATCTCTCGTCCTCAACCAAATGGCCTAAGATGCTTAAAAGAGCATTATATGCTCTGGAATTAGAAGACTCTCGCATCCTCAAAAAATCAGCGTAACATCAGTGAAGCACTTACCAAAACAATTACAGTTTGTAACGCATGATATACTATAAATGAATGCCTTACCTGATGATTTAGTGTTTGGCAGGCTAAACACCTCAGTACTTTTCTAAATGTTTGTTAAATGTTAAACAGTCTTTTACTGTCATAGAAGTTAGTTTTCTTTCTTTATGTGTATGAATTTTCAGACAAACAAGGGAAAATAAAAACTTATTTTAATTTAAAAAACTGAATTTAAACAAATGAATCTTTATTGTTCATTATATCCTGAGAAGGAAGTATTGGCATAAGTAATTTTAAAAAGTTGTATTTGACTAAAGCATACTTTGTAGTTCCTTCCACCACATATATCATCTTGGTAATCATTTAATCCTTTTCTCTACTATCCAGCTTTGTTCCAGGGTCCTGCTTCTGTTAAAAAGGTTTCAGAAATTCAAATATATTTTTATCCACAGACAGTGAAATATAAACTGTGGTGACTAGATCTTGGTTGAGGAGAGAAGGAGGATGATGGATAATAGGTACATTATAAAGCAAATCTGGGGTCCATTTTTACTATCCATTCTTTCACATGTTTTACTTACAGATTATAGCATAATCATGGAATAATTTTCATTAAGTTGTATTGAATTGTTTTTATTCCCTACATACCATTTATCTGGATTGTGAGGAAATGTGATCTTGTGAATTTTTATGGACGGGCAGAGGAATGTGATCACTAGTCAGGAGAAAATTTGCCATGAGTACTAAAAGCTAAAATTTACAGTAGTATTTCTGCACTTCTGAATGTTATGCCAGTATATCAAACATTAACTTGGGCCTCCCTGGTGACCTAGGGGTTAAATCTCAGTGCTGTCAGCTTTAGGGCCTGAGCTTGATCCCAGCCAGGGAGCTAATCCACATATCAGGCCTCTCCTATCTCATCAATGCTCCCCTTAACTCCCCATTGGTCCTCCTATCTCACCACTGCTCCCCTTACTTATATTTCAGTAAATCTGCCTGTTCTGCTCCCCAGTCTGTGTCTGGTGAACACACACACACATACACACACACACACCCTTCTTCACCACCACCACCCCACACCTCTGGCCTGCACCCCAGTTCTTCTACATTTAAAAAAAAATTAACTCATTTCTACTTGCATTTGAAAAATAGACTGCATTTTTAAAAACAAGCACAAGTTTTACTTAAAATGTATAACTATAATCTCCAGAAAAGCAGCTCGGCCCACCAAAGAGATTAGACTTTGCATGTGCAGACTTACAAAAAATACATTCTCTTGTGCCTTAATGAGCATTGACTTGCTTCTCCCTTTGTATATTTGCTGCTGTTCAGTTGTATCCCTGGTGTCACATAATTTCATGTAAGCACTTTCATTATATGTTAATATTCATTTTTTAATTTAAAGCATAGGGAGCTACTAGAGCGCTTCATACAGGTACCGGAAGATAGCAACTGACATTTGAAATATTTGTTTCAGGTAGTTTTCCTTTCAGTTCTTTGCTCTTAAAATAGGAAACCTTTGTTTTAGCAGTGACATTACTTTTCCTTGGTTTATTTTCAATTTCTACAAGAAGAGAAAGTTAAAATTGCTTAGTAGTTTTGTTTTGATACTAAAGATTGAGATTTAAGAAGATAGTGGTTGTATATTTTTTCTTTGTAACTTAGTTTTTGTCCTTTAGAGTTGTGAAAGAACTCACTACTAGTGAGTCTTTTAGTTGTGAGAAACTCTAGCTTTTGAGTTGGAAATTGGAGGTACTGAATGTAGATTTAGACAGTAATGAGGCTGTGGAACCTCTTCAGAGCAGAGTTGTTGGCCTTCTTCTTTTTTCTTTTTGAAGTATTAAAGGAAGCAACCCCAGAAAATATCCCTTAGAGATTCTGTCTTAAATCATTTTACATTCAAATCCACATAAGCTTGTAGGGCTATTTTTAAAAACCACTATGTAGCTGGATGTCCTTTTGTGTTTTTTTTTTCCTTGTTTTCTTCTATTACGAATCTGTAGAACTTAAGTTATTTTTATTTTGCTTAACAGAAGTATATTTTGCTCATTTTAATCTTTGTGTACTGAGCTCATTTTTATATCCAGAGAAAATTAAACTATGGATTTTATTTCTCTTAGTGTTTTATAACTAATTCCTCATATTCCTATAGTAATTTGATTGCTTAGGAAATGAGTTTAATCTGCTAGAGAGCTTTCATCATCCAGTTAACATTTTTCTAAGAATTTAGTCTTCATTCTTTTATGGTAAGCCAAGTGAAAATAAGTGTCTCATTGTTAACATGGTTACAGAAACTCAAACCTCAGTGCCTTTTCCATCCATGGCATAACTAAGATTAGGTCACAAATATATCTTACATATTTGACCAAAATAAGTGTTTTTTCATCCACCTAAAGACTTCCTTGATCAGGTCTTTTTCAAATAAATCAGCCTTTAAAAAAGAAAAAAACCCTGACAGACTATTAGGTGATCAAGTTTCCCAGCATTATAAACTAGGACAGAAGAGACTCACTGTCAGCCTCATGGAAAGAATGGGAATCTTTAGGCATAATTAGAAAAGAACAGTAGTTTAGGTACATAGCGTATGAACACATGGACCTGCTTGACTTGATCATCTTTGTCGCTAAAGTAACTTTTCATAAGTGATTTTATGATAAAAGGTAAACATTTTAAGTAAATATTTTTATTTTACTTTAGAAAATAGGCAATTACTACTATTTTAGGTGTTTTTTGTCAAAAATAATTTTTCCTTTTAAAGGTTTTAATTTGGAGAGTAATCTGAATTACTTTTAAAAAATTAGCTACACTGTCTGATATCCTGTGTACCATATAAATGAGATAGCCACTAAATGTCAGTTTGTTCTTAAACACTAGTCTGGTTTTTAAGTTAGCCACGTGAACTACAACCACTTGATTTAAATACTAAGTGCTTTTTAAAAGATTTTAAATCAGCTTGTATTTTCCAGAAATTTGACATGCATAAAATGGTAATGTGAAGTAGTAAAATATAATTGTTAGTAAAAATACTGGTTTTGTCAATATGAAACTTTCAGAGTTCTTATTTTAGATAATGAGCTTATTTCAGTATGAGATGGCATACTGAAGAGTGGCCTTTGTAGAATGGAAGAATTACAGATAGGTTATGTCTTAGTTTTTGAAACCTCATGCTGTTTACCAGTAGTAACAGGATGTCAGGTTCTGTTTTGGAACATAGTACACTTGTCAAATGCTATCAAGCATGTATATGATTCCCCACTAGTTTTCTAAAGATAGGCTCCTGGGTATACATTGAATGACCTGGGCCTGTGAAATTGTTCTGACACACGTTCAACCACTTGACTTAACTATGTTTTTTAAATTTGATTTATTGATGAGGATTAGTAAAAGTTTATTGGCGTGTTAGGTTTGTTCCTTATCTGTTCTATTTATAACACTTTAGTTTTATATATTTGATCAAATTTTGTAGAATAGATGCCATTTAATTATTAATAAGGAACTTAATTGAACAAGGTTGGAAACCTAATGTCTCTTTATTTTCTTTTAAAGTTATTCCTTATTGACTTTGGTTTGGCCAAAAAGTACAGAGACAACAGGACAAGGCAACACATACCATACAGAGAAGATAAAAATCTTACTGGCACTGCCCGGTATGCTAGCATCAATGCACATCTTGGTATTGAACAGAGGTGAGTTTGGAAATTGAATGTGTTTACCAAGTACATCGGAAAAATCATTAGTGGGGTTTTTATTTTTTATTTATTTTTTTTAAAGATTTATTTATTCATTTACACAAGAACCGGGGTACAGGCCAGATGCGCAGGAGGGTGAGAGGATTCACCAGAGACAGAGCAGGGAGCAGAGCAGGCAGGAGGACCAAAGTACACTGCTGAGGGAAGCAGCGGGCACTGCAGGAGAGGTCTGTCACGCTTTGTGGGACCTTTGCCGGCGGCCGGAGATCGAACCGGCACTGCAGAGGCTGGGGACAGCTTCACAATGCAGCGCTCAACCGCCTGCACCACTAGGGGAGACCCCAGTGGTGGGGTTTTTAAAAAATATTTCAGTGTTTCATAATATCTAAACATGTCTTCTGGCTGAGGATTTGAAGGATGCTTGTCAATCCTTTTACCTGCTCCTTTAGTCAGCACAGAGAATCCAATTAAATGAGGCCTATTTGTTTGCTTTAAGAGTGTCTCTTGGGAAGAAAATAATTGCATGATGGAAAGTTAGAAGCACAAATGCAATTTTATCTTGATGTTTGTTTTTGCACCAAAAGCCAGTTTAGCTCTTCCACTTCTAGGATCTGGTTTGAAGCAAAATTGGTCAGTTTTGCTTGTTCACTTTTCATATGTTGACATGGGTTCTAGTCAAATTCATGTTCCCTTCATCTTTATCAATCATTCTTGCTCCTTTACACAAGCATAGAAATGACAAATGCTTCTAGGGATCTTCGGGAGAAAATTTGAAGCTTAGGAAATACCTATGAATATTTGAATACTTAGCTTACATTGTAATTTCACATTTCCAGCAGGCCAGAGTATCACCATTTCTTCAATATATGTATCTTTCTGAGCATATACGTATGTGCTGTATGTTTCGTTAGATGTTTGGTTCTTTTTTAAATGTTAATTTATTTCAGTATCCCTAAGTTTATTTTATGAGTGCCTGTGAAACTTCTAAGTGTCCTGCCGAATTGTAGGAGTGTGTTGGTTTCTATTTTGAATTCAATGAGAAAATTTTAACTAAATACCTTCTTGTACAACATACCAAATAGCTCTCTCTTCACTTGGGAAAATTTCTTCTTATGTACCTGGCTTTGTTTCACATGTCTTTCATAATAACTCTAGGTCATAAATTCATATTTTCTTTTCCAGTCGCCGAGATGACATGGAATCATTAGGATATGTTTTGATGTATTTTAATAGAACCAGCCTGCCATGGCAAGGACTAAAGGTAAACTAGACTCATACTACCTACCAGTGTTTTGTTGTAAGAAGAAAAATGGGTATTGGAGATGACCTTAATGTCCCTTGCAAATACGGAGTTTCCTGAGAATAAATTAACTTTCTTTTTGCCTTTTATTTGGAAAATCAGGTCATTTCACTAAGAATTAATAGAATCCCACAGAACAGTTTTCTTTAGGGACAGTAAATAGGTAACTTGTAGCTTTATCTGAGTGGTAGTTGACATGAACTGCAAAAGGTAGAGACTTGTCTCATTTTGCTGAGTTGCCATTTTGTTGAAAATAGTACTTATATTATTCCCCCCCCCCCAAAGTGATCTATCCAATAGTAATAGCTATATCCTAACATTTTGTTTCTATTAACTAGGAGTTTCACTGTTAGTTTTGTGTTTGTGTTAATGATGAATAACTATGGTCTTGATTTTAATAACTTAAGTTCTCTAAAGGAAAATTTTGATACTTACTGCTCTCTAAAGAATGGCCTCTATATCTATTGAGCATTTGTGCACTAAACAGATTACTAAATTCTTGTGTGGGTAGCTTTTTTTGGGGGGGGGTACACAGAAGAACTGGGGTGTAGGCCAGAGGTAGTGGGGTAAGAGGATTCACCAGAAACAGAGTGAAGAGCAGAAGAGGAAGATTTACTGAAACACAGCTGCTAAGGGGAGCAGCAGGCAAGACAGGAGAGGTCTGCTGTACCATGTGGGTTAGCTCCTTGGCCATAAATGGAACTCAGGCCTTAGGGGTGACAGTGCTGAGCATTAACCCCCTAGGCCACTAGGGAGGCCCCTTGTGTGGGTAGCTTTATCCCCTATGAATATTTTTACTTTGAAACAGGTTTAGACTTACGCCATTTTGTAGTCTCTAATGATGAACACATTTTATGGTATGATTCTGTTTTTGTGTTAAATGTGTCAAGAAAACATGCTTTAAATTTAACTTAATTTAACTTAAATCACACACCTTCATGTTCTAATCCTAGTAAGTAAAAATGGTTCTGAAGTAGAAACTCAAAAAAAGTTAACAGTTCAGTTAAATATTATACATTGATTTATTTTTTATTCTTGGTTAAGATTTGTCTTGAATCTTAATTGTAATTTATGCCAGTGTGTTAATCAGGTTCTTCTTGGTAGTGTTGAGTATGTCTGTGATTTCTTATTTTCCACAGGCTGCAACAAAGAAACAAAAATATGAAAAGATTAGTGAAAAGAAAATGTCTACTCCTGTTGAAGTTTTATGTAAGGTAAGTGATGAGTATTTTTTTAGAAATATATGAGTCAGGAACACAATGGAACATTTTCCTTGCCAGCCTTGGTAATTAAATATCCTAATAGGTATAAACTAGCTGCTTACCATCTTAAATTTATTTATTTTTTTATTCTAAATATCTCTAGAATTGCTTTGTCTGATGTCTTCTGTTTGCTTGGGCTCTACAATCTTAAAATTTGTAGGAAATACAAGAAAACAGGCAGATTTTTCTAAATGATGCTTACAAATTATGAGGAAAATTAAATTTTATTCTTAACTGTAAACTAATGTCAGAAAAGGAAGGATATCAGTAATTGGTATATTAAGGAGGAGAGAGAGAAAGGCAGGAAGATCAGAACAATCCACAATAGGAAAATGTCAAACAATAGTGCAACATTGGTAACAGCTTCAATATATTCACTTCTCTGAAATTTCAAACTTCAGAACTAGACCAGTAAGTTTTGAATGGAGAGCTGTTTGTGTCTTGATGAGGAATCACTGTCTTTTCCTTAGAAAGAACTTTGCAACACTAGGGTTCCTGAAATAATTAGTAAACAGCATACAGTTAAATAGTTGGGTGACAAAAAGAATTGCAACTGTACATTTTGTAGAAAAGGTAAAGGTTTTTTTATGTGTCTCCTATTCACAAATCTGCTTTCCCCTTTGCTACCAATCTAAATTGAAAGAGGAGTGGGGTGTATAGACTATGATCTTTACCAAGTCTTTGGGATTTGTTTTACATAAATTTATAGAAACGGAAAACAGATTGGTGATTACCAGACGAGTGGAGGGCATTGGGTGAAAAGGGATCAAGAAGTACAAACTTCCAGTTACAAACGAATTAAGTCGGGGGTGGGGGGTGTACAGCATGGGGCTACAGTCAGTCATAGGGTGTTACAAAGTTGAAAGTTGCTAAGAAAAGATGGTACATAGACTTACTGTGATCATTGCTAATGCAGTGTATACAAATGTCATTATGTTGTGCACATGAGACTAAAATGTCGTGTCAAATTAATTATGACATTCTACCACCTACCCAAATAATTTAAAAATCTGTATACTCCAGGAAGCGCAGAACATTACATTTTCTATACACTACCTTTTTTATGCAAGAGAAAGATTCATTTGGTTTACTAAAAATAAAAACATCACCCATTTTTCAGGGAGATAGGGAATTTAGTACATTCTCTGCTTGTGGACTGCTTAATATTGATCTTGAAATTGTGAACTCTTTCTATCTGGATTAGCAACATATAATTGATTCAGAGTTGAGTGAACACAGAAGTGTTAGATATTAGTATAAAATAGTAAGATATTTTTGCAGTTTCATGGTCCAGTGGTATCTCTTATTTCCTGTCTGTATTGCTTCTGATATTGGTAGTTTGTTGGTTTTTTTTTGTTTTTTTTTTTTTTAAGATTTATTTAGTTATGCACACAAGAACTGGGGTACAGACCAGAGGTGTGGCGGGTGAGAGGATTCACCAGAGACAGAGTGGGGAACAGAACAGGCTGATCTACTGAAATGCACTGTTGAGGGAGCGCAGTGGGCAAGTCAGGAGAGGTCTGCTGCGCCATGTGGGTAGCTCCTTGGGTGGGGATGGAACTAATGCTGCAGTGGCTGTGGATAGCTTCCATAGGTTTGCGTCTTAACCCCTTGCACCACCAGGGAGGCCCTGATATTGGTGGGTTTTTTCTGTTATGTTTTGCCTGCTATCAGAAAGCAGTAGTGTGTGAAGTCTACTATTTGACCCTCAGTTGTGGTTAATTCTTTATCTAAAAGGTATTAATTTCAATTCATTTGGTAAATGTTACTTACCACTAACACAGATTGTGTGTAAAAAAAATTTTAAAAGAAAAATATACAATAAATTAGTTTCCAGTGCCCACCTCCAAAATGAAATAGCTTGAAAGTGCTTGGTGAATTTTAAATCTGTTTATGTAAGTGTGGTCATAAAAATGTTGAAAGCATAGCCATTCTATCCTACTCTGACTATTGGGCATCAAAGGTTTTCAAAATGTTACAGAGTGTGGGAAGGAACTGCCTCTTTTTACTCAATCTTCCTTCACATATACTTGAGGAGAAGGGTATGTGGGGCTTTTTGTTGCTTTAATATTTTGTATTTCTTCATAGCTGGAAGTAATGTCCTTTTGGTGACTGACATCTATAACTTTAAAAATGTTGATGTACATCTTTGAATATCTTTCTTCAGAAACAGAACATGAAAAAAGAAACGTAGCCACAGGTGTTTATTTAGTAGTAATTTTTTTTTTTTTTTTTAAGATTTATTTATTTATTTATTTATTCATACAAGCACTGGGTACAGTCAGAAGCGCGGGAGGGTGAGAGAATTCACCAGAGTCAGAGCAGGATGCAGAACAGGCAGAAGGACCAAAGTACACTGCTGAGGGGAGCAGCGGGCGGCAGGAGAGGTCTGCGTGCCATGTGGGACCCTCCTCTGGTGGCCGGGGAGCAGCTGGGGATCGAACCGGCACCGCAGAGGCTGCGAGCAGCTTCGCAACCCCGCGCTCAACCGCTGCGCCACCGGGGAAGCCCAGTAGTAATGTTTTTAATAGAGGAAAATTTGAATTCCCTAAATGTCCAAGTTAATTATGATCTGTTTAGTAGTTAAGTATATGCATCCATTTAGAAGTTTATGAAGAGGTTGGAAATAACACTGATGCTTATAGTATACTGTTAATGGATGAAAACAGAATATGTTACATATGTAATATGGTAATAGTTACGGGGGGGGGAAGCAGTATCTATATAGGAAAAAGCATTAGAATGAATTTGTATCACAACAGTGGTGGTTTTGTGTGATTGCACACTTGGTGGTTTTACTTTTCTGTTTACCTAAGTATATACTGTTGTCCCAAGGGGTGAGAAAATGCACATTTCATTGTCTTCTTGTGGCAGAAAGAACATTACTGACCTCCCTTTCTCATTTCAAATTAGTAGATAATGATAAAATAACAAATTAGTGGGATGTCTTAATTTATTGAAGAACATAATGTTCTAAGAAAAGGATACATATTTCCTCTCCCAGTATAAAAAGTATACTGTATGTAATAAGGGCAGAATGGTGAAATTTTGTTAAATTTATGAGGAGGATACCAATTCACAAGTTATTTTAGTTGTTAGATCTTCCAGCAAAGTAGTGTAAAATACCCTCCTCAAATACAATTTTTCATGTAATTTAAATATATTTCTGTTCCTATGTTAAAATAAATTTGTTTTAACTCTTGAACTTCTAGGGGTTTCCTGCAGAATTTGCCATGTACTTAAACTATTGTCGTGGACTGCGCTTTGAGGAAGCCCCAGATTACATGTATCTGAGGCAGCTATTCCGCATTCTTTTCAGGTTAGTTTTTAAGACTGTAAACTTCATTGAGGGAAGTTAGTTAAATCCACCCAGCATACCTACTCTGAGAAGTAGGTTGTTTAGTGGATTTAACCAGTATGAGCAACATTTCAAAAACTGAGTTTGTCATTTTTCCATTTGTAATGCAAATATGCTTGAAATTGTTTTGAGATGGCAAAACAGCTGAGTAAAACTCAGTAGAATCTGATTTTTCCACAAGAATTAACAATTCACATTAGTGAGTGACTTTCTCTGGCCCTTGGAACACTTCAGTTTTGGTACAGAGCCCCTATTCAAACCCAAAATGAAAGCAATTTAAAAAATGACACAGTCATGGAATCTATAGGATAGTGTGGAGGCAGCCCAGCTCTAGAGTTCTCTAGGAACAACTCATAACTGGTCTTGAACAAAGGGGGGAAATAAAGAGTACAATACCTCAGATCTTAGTTGGAAGAGTAAGATTTTGGGGAGTAATCCTTGAACCCCAGAAAAATCTTCCATAAAGCTCAGGCTTAGACTTGTCCCCCACAGAGTCCTTCACCTACTCTTAATTTGTTTTCAGGAGGCACCTTCTGCATAACTGATGACTTGACTCAGTGTTTTGGTTGCTTTGGCTCCCTTTTCTCTCTATTCCCCTGCTCCTTTCAAGAAATGCAAAGGCAGCTGCTTTTTGAGAAGGGAGAGGATTATTTTTATACTAAATAGCAGGCTGTTTTCTTTTTCCTCCAGTCTTGACATGCAACAAGTAGAGTTCATTATAACTGAATCGTTAAAAAATTATCCTAGGGATAGATATCTTTTAGAAGCTTCACACGTAAGAGAAAATACCCATCTCCTTAAAAATGCTCTGTCTGGAAAGTTCAGTGGACTCAGTTGTTAAAGGATTAACATACAAATTTCTATTTTCCAGGACCCTAAATCACCAATATGACTACACATTTGATTGGACAATGTTAAAGCAGAAAGCAGCACAGCAGGCAGCCTCTTCAAGTGGGCAGGGTCAACAGGCCCAAACCCCCACAGGCAAGCAAACTGACAAAACCAAGAGTAACATGAAAGGTTAGTAGCCAAGAACCAAGTGACGTTACAGGGGAAAAAAAATTGAACACAAAATTGGGTAATTCATTCATTTCTAACAGTGTTAGATCGAGGAGGTGGTTTTTAAAATGCATAAAAATTTGGCTCTGTTTTAAAAAAAAGACGTCCTTGGAAAATTTGACTACTAACTTTAAACCCAAATGTCCTTGTTCATATATATATGTATATGTATTTGTATATACATATATGTGTGTATATTATATCATTTCTCTTGGGATTTTGGGTCATTTTTAACAACTGCATCTTTTTTACTCATTCATTAACCCCTTTCCAAAATACACATTTGGTGTTGGGAATATGGTATAATCAATCAATCCAAAATCCTAGACCTAACACTTGTTGATTTTTAATAATGAATCTGGTTAGCATTGGTATTTTGACTTTTCTTAGACTAACAGTGTTAAGAATTTTTTTGCATGTTAATGCATTAGCATTTAAAATGGACAATTGTGAACATAATCTAATTTCAAGATGTGAGTCTGGCATTGCCCCAACGTGTCTGTCTTCTCAGTTGCAGAGCGTCTCATTTACTCTCATAAAAGCTCAGGTAACTGAAAAGCTTGGCACATCTTTCCTAGTTACAAATCTCTTAATTGCTTTTTAACTACAGATGTTCTTAATTTCAAGATGATTCTTTGATTTTTGTCTTCATTTTTTAGTATCTTGCAAATACTCAGGGCCTGGGGAGTCCCGTGTGGAATTGAATTCTGCAATTAGACCTTGCAAATTGAAATGAAGTGGGGCAAATGCCATTGAACTACGAAGCTCTATTTCCTTTCTCTTTCTCAGGCACTCTTTATAGCACGAAGGAGTAGAACTGTTAGGGCACAGCTCCGTTTCTTACCACTGTTGCCATACAGTTGGACTCCTGTGTTTGATGTTTTTTGCTTGTTTTTCTTTTCCCCTTTCTGGGGCTTACCTGCTGATTACCTGCCTACTTTCTGGAAGTGGTGGGCTCTGGTAAGATTCGGTTTTGGTTTCTAATTATATAATTTCTGAATGACTGCTCTAGTCTGAACTTGATCTTCTTTGGTCCATATTTTTAGTGTTGTATTTAAACAATTTTGTAATTTAAAAACAGACTAATCTGAGAATGCTTTTCAAGAAGTATAATTAACTGATGTTATCCTCATCCCAGCAGCTTATCTATTGGGAATGAAATTGAGATCCTTCTCTTCCATGTTTTGTATTGGGGAAGGCTTCATAGATGGAGGCTGATGGTAGTGGGGGTTCCAAGATGAGGAAAATTCTTAGCTTAGGATGTTAAACTAATGTTTGCCCAGTGCTCTGCCTTTGCATCTCAATTGGGACTTAATTGCCCCTTTTGATTGTTTTAATTATGGTATCATTTAATCATAGTGCTGAGAACTTCTTAATGAGGTAGGTAGCTAGTGTCACTGAGAAATAGCCCTACCTTTTAGATAAGATTAGGTAGTCTGAGGACTTGTTATACCTAATGCCTATAGTGCTTTTGTTTTTTCTCACAAAATGAAACAAATTTTTGCCTAAAGCTAGCTGGGATAATAGGATCATCACGAGTTGCAGTTTCTAGAACTAAAATTAGATTGAAATCTCTTCTGACCTAGAATATTTCACTTCAGGCATTCAGCAGCCTTCAGAAAGAATTACTTTATTTTGAGCTAGTTTCCATTGTTAGTTTACTATGTGTCTCTTACTCAATAAACAAGCAGAATTTTTGTCCTGCCTTATCCAGGTCTAAAAGATGAGAAGTTGGATCCACTGAGTTAGTATGTTACCTTGGAAAAAAAATTGTAATTAAACTTAAGTTTAATCCTTATTTTTGTATTGTAGCTATTTTTCATAAAGCAACTTAAAATCTTACAAGATTAAATAGCATTAGACATGGGCTGTATGATATTACATAACCACAGACTTGGAAAATTTTGAGGAAATTGGACTTACTATAAAACACATCACACACATCATTGACTGTTTTAAGATATACAGTTACAAGTGATGTATTTTGGCTCCAACAAAATACTGCTTGCTACTAAAGCATGCTACTCCACATATACAAACAACAAAATTCTTTTTGATCTTTGACTTCTTGAAAACATTTGTATTATTTTGGATGATAAAAAAAACTTGCTGCCCAAAACATACCTTACACAAAACCCCCTATATAGAAAGCCATTGAAGTCCTTAGGTTTGAGGATGCTGAAATAAGTATTGCCCTCCCTTCTCCTCCAACCCCCTCCTCCGAGTCATCAACATTAAGAAATCTTATGAAGTCTAGAGATCGAAAACAACTGATTCAGGTTACTTCTCACTCCAATCTCTAAGTAAAAACGTGTTTGAAATCATGGTTTCCTAGGGTCCACTGCAATAGGCTTTTTCTTCAAGAGCTGGTACGACTCAGTGATTCATTGACCCCAGTAAATTCTTTCAGTAATGATGAAAATACCACATTATCTTTTTCTAGTTAAGTTTTATAAAGTGCTTTTTTAATACATTACATGTAAACATATATATTCTTCATAGAAATTAAACTTTCAGAAGTTTTCGCCATCAGGGAATTGAGTTTCTTAAATTAATCCTTGGCAAGTAGATATCTCTACTGTAAGAATATCTGTTCTTGCAGAAATCTCCCAGATGGTAGCATTTACTAACTAATACATTGCATATGATTTTCATTTCAGAAAACTTTATACCTAATATTTCTTCATGAAAAGCTATAGCAGGTCATTTTAGCAGTCAGTAAGAATGTCCAAAGACTCTAAAGTCTGTTTATTCAGTCAAGATGGGTTTGTTATATATGATCAATTTCTATTCTAATTACTTTTCTAAAGAAAAAACCTTTTTTCAATTTTTCTGTTCCAAAGTCCATAAAAAGACGATAAAACAAGACACCCCCTATGATTTATTGCTCAGCACCAAATTCACTTCACCACCCTTTCCTTCAGCTATAAGTTGGTTTTCAGAAGGTACTTTAAGACATTTAAAAAGTAGTAAAAGATATTTATAGGACATTTAGAATGCAAGTAAGGTTACTGTTTCTTTAGTTGAGAACACAGATGTGAGGGAGAATTTCAGAAGTCATTAAAGGTGGATCCTCATATTATTCTACTATTACCATCATCTTAATCCATTTGTTCACTACTGCAGCCATCGATGCTAAGCATAGTTTTACCATAACATTACATGGATATCAAATTGTTGATGTTGAAGAGATTAGAAATACTTTTCCATCACATTATCCTACCATGTCATGGTCTTTCCTGAACTACCTTCCAGTATTTACTGGGCTTTCACCTACCATTTATGTCTAGTTTAACTTTTTTTGACTTCACCAATTGCTGCTAGGAACATGGTTAGTCACTCAGCAACGTAACCCAAATCACAGGGGAAGACCTTGAAATACCTGGAGAAACTGATCTACTTTGAATACACTCAATCCAAAGAAGTTGCAAGGGACTTTCATCTTGTTGCTGAACTTTTTGTCAGCTTTTTTCACTGGACAGTTAAGCTGGAGAGAAAGAAAGCAGTCCAAAAAGAAGTGAAGACGAGGATGCAAGAGTTGATTTCTGGTCTCAAAGGCCTATTGGACCTATGAAACTTTCAAGCTGTCATACTGTCCAGATGATAATACAACAGTCAGGACACAGAAGAGTACAGAGTTGCTGCGTGTCTGGTGTATAATGCAATCCATCTACCATATGGGGAAGGAATCCATTGTAACAGGTATTTTAAAGTTCAACAAACTCAAATCTGTAGCAGATTGACTTCTATACTAAAAAAAGACCCCAAAAGTCAGATTATCAGTCTTTTTTTTAATGGTTAACATATGTGTACCGGCTATACTTGTCATTTATCTTACTTGTAATAAAAATCCATTTCCTTTGTCTTTCCCAACTTAATATACTTTAGTTTCTGTGGAGAATTAACAGTTTGTGGTTTGTTTTTCTTCTGTACTTTCAAGTAAGAAATCTTAAATTCTCCAAGCTAAAGTCTGTGCATAACCAGAAGACCACACAAGCATGTTTTAGAGAAAGTAGCATAAATGGCATTGTATAATGAATGTATTTCGTTAAAAATTGCTTTTTAAAAAGTCATGTCTTATACTATGAAAGGACATTAAATTTCAAAAGTCCAAGCCTTACTAATTAATATAAATAAACCTTTGTGAAAAACTTTGTGATTCTACCAAAATGTCAGGGACCTATGAAATAAATTCACAAATAAGAGTAGATAGTTTCCAGATTGAGGGCTAGAATCTCCTGGTTAGTTATATAAAAGTAAACTTTTTTTCCTTTTGCAGATTTGAAAAAAAAAAAAACTTAAATGTAACTGTTAATTCCTGAGTTGTCTCGAATTAGTCTGCCAAACCTGTTTTAACTCTTCCCCTCCCCCTCTTTTTTTAGGAACAAAGGAAGTCACTCCTTATTTTAACTGTTGTTGCAGTGAAGATGGGTTTTTGGACTTTTGGAAGTCAAGAGACACCACCTCAACTACAACATAAAAACCAAGGACTAATGCATATTTGGGAAAAGAATGCTTAGTACTTGAAGACTGAATGTTGAATCCCTGCTGAATGATCCTATGGAGATTTTTTTTCCTAAACAGACTTCAGTAACATATTAGGACAATTCACTGGAGAAACTTTGATTCCTGGGTGGAGTATCCTACCATTGGCCAGTCTGAAGAGTTAAATCTGGATTTGACTGCTCTGTTCTACCAGGAATATTGTTTAGGCTAGCTCCTTTAACCAGTCCCTAAACAATTGTAATCATTTAATTGACCCAGCCATTCCTCAAATGCCAGATTAAAAGATGAACAAGTATCATTCGTACCTACACAATTCTTGTCCCTATTAAAGACACAAGAGTTTTCTAATATTTTGACTGACAATGTAACTTACATTCCTCTTTAGTTTATCTAATTTGGGTTTCATTAGACAGTCTTTAATATTTTCCTTGCTAATCCTATTTAACAATATAAATCAAATGTAGATAGTATTCACTGTGGGGAAATTTTCAGGAAGTTTTGTTACCAATGCCATTTGTAGCATTTGCTTTCTGAACTTTAGTAATTATGCAGGCAGCGGAGGTCTTTTCTGTATATCTGGGTAATTAGGCACAATGGAGAGACAAAGAAGTATAGCACTTGGATCTGCCCTCACATGAAAAAGTTCCTAGTTAATGTATTTATCAAGCAAGTACACATACGTCCTGGGTGTTGAAAAAACAAATGCACATATATATGGAAAGGAAACCAGAACTATTTTACTTGTCCTAGAGAGCACATTAGGGTATGGTCTAACAAATACTTAAGTACAAGAAAAGGAGTTTATGGTTGACAAAAACATAGTTTGTGCTAAAGAAGTGGGAAAAGAGCAAAGTGAATTAAAATGAGCTGATATTAGGTAGACTAGAAGAGTTTAGAAGGTAGTGGGCCAAGGAGCATCTTCAAGGAAGGGCCGTAGATGCAAGGAGATGGGTGCTGGTGCCATTTTCACGTTAACTACTGCAAGGCATACTTCTATTTGCCTAGATAAAGCATGTAACTACCTGAAACCTCCTTCTATTGAAATCTGCCTTTGTGTTGAAGCTCCAGTCTATTAAAGTGGGGGGCGAGGGAAGTGTAATGTGTGTAAGGTGAGAAGGCATAAGAAAAAATAAAAACGAGCTTCCCAGGTGGCGTAGGGACTAAGTCTCAGCACTATCACTGCTGTGACTTGAGTTTAATCCTTAGCCAGGGAGCTAAACTGCATATGGCCCAGCAGATCTTTCCTGTCTGGCCACCTGCTCCCCTAAGCAGTATATTTCAGTAAATCTACATGTTCTCCCCACTCTCTCTCTCATGAATCCTCTCAAAGCCCACTCCTCTGGCCTACACCTCAGTCCTCTTACGCAAAAAATAAATAAAAACAAGTTCATCTCTTTACATTTTCAATCAGTGATAAAACCTAGCTTTTTTAATATAACTGATTGAAGTAACCTTTTTTAAAGGTAAGAGGTCTGAACAAAAATGATGGCTTGAGGGCCTCCCTGGTGGGACAGGGGTTAAGTCTCAGTGCTATCAAGCAATCACCAGCAGACCTCTTTTGTCTTGCCTGCTGCTTCCCTCAGCTTTGTATTTCAGTAGATTGCCTGTTCTGCTCCCCACTCTGATGAATCCTCTAAACCCCCTGCACCTCTGGCCGACACCCCAGTTCTTCTATGCATAAATCTTTTTAAAAAAATGATAAGCTTGAGAGATTTGTGGTCAGTGAAATTGAAATTCAAATAATCACACCTTGAATACATTTATTAAAGCTTACCATTTTTGCATCAAAAACAGTATACAGGAAGGTTCTTGTTTCAATATGATTATAAAGTACACTTTCTAGTTAAAGCAGTTTATTTTTCATTCATTTCACAAATAGTTGAACATATCCTATGTTCTAGGTACCAGAAGTACAAGATGTGAACAAAACAGGCTCATTTGAACTAGTAATTCTCTAACTTGAGAATCATGTGCTGACTGGAAGACTCCATGTAAATCTGTCCTACCTATTGGTCCAGAACAGAAAAGTTTCATTTTTGCATTTAAATTGAAAGACCAATATTTAAATGAGTGAAAATAACTTGAGTCACCATTCTACAGTAATTATTGGCCCAGTTCCACCTAATTTCCCTATTTTTGGTATAGTGTAAGAATTTTTTAAACTTGGAATTTTAACATTCTTTTTTTGTTTTGATTCTTTAACAGGTTTCTAAGCATGAATGAGGAACAGAAGAAGCAGAGCAGATGATTGGAGCAGCATTTGTTTCTCCCCAAATCTAGAAATTTTAGTTCATATGTACACTAGCCAGTGGTTGTGGACAACCATTTACTTGATGTAAAGAACTTCCTTCAGTATAAACTGGCTCTGGACAGCATTGGTGATGCTGTGTCCTGAGTTGTAGCGCTGTAATTGTGAATATTAACTGAGATAGTGAAACATGGTGTCCAGTTTTCTATTGCATTTTTTCAAGTGGAAAAGTTAACTAAATGGTTGACACACAAATTGGTGGAGAAATTGTGCATATGCCAATTTTTTGTTAAAACCTTTTATTTTGAACTATACTGCTTTGAGATCTTATTTCGGAAGAACGGCATGAACAGTCTTCGGCCACAGTTGTGATGGTTGTAAATGCTCACAATTGTGCGTCTTAGGGTTTATCCATCCCTGGGGTTTGCAAGTTGTTCACTTAAAACATTCTTTAAATGGTTGGCTTCTTGTTTGTAAGCCAGCTGATATGGTAGCAACCAAAGATTCCAGTGTTTGAGCATATGAAAGACTCTGCCTGCTTACCTGTGCTAGAAATAACAGCATCTAAAGTGAAGACTTAAGAAAACTTAGCGACTACTAGATTATCTTTAGGACTCTGCATTAACTCTATAATGTTCTCGGTATTAAAAAAAAAAAAAAGCATACTTGTCACAAATTTAGTTAACATCTTACAACTGAATATGTATGTATGTTGCTTAGATAAATGTAATCACTGTAAACATCTCTATGATCTGGGATTTCGTTTTTATTTTGAAATGGGAACTTTTTTGTTTACAAGTTCATTAAAAACTAAAAACTGTTTCTGTAAGGAAATGAGGTTTTTTTTAAACAACAAAAATGCCTTGCTGACTCACTATGAAATCAAAATTGCCCCAATTTTTTAATAGACTACTTCAAGCCATTTGTTACATATGATTCCTTTGCAAATCATTTTAGATAGAGTGTTTTGACTTGTCAATTTTTTATTTAAAAAGTTTTTTTTTTTTTCTCGTCCTAAGGGGAAAGGCATTCTGTGATTTTTCTTTTCTTTTTTTTTAAAGGACTTGTAGGTACAATACCTGGAACTGCAGATGCCAAGACCTGGTATTGTAATTCGTACCACTGCAGACTAACCGCTGGGCTGATTTTGAGTAATAACGAAAGCTTTAAAGGGTTTGACTAGCAAATGAAATTTTTCTTTAAATTCCTAGTTAATTGGCTTTGAGCAGATTTACTTACCCTCAGAGTGCATCACACCACTTAAATTTCCATTTGAGGGCTGACCCTCCCCAACCTCACCCAAACCGAGAGAGCTTTCTCTCTCAATTTTAAATGCACCTTCTTTGTTTTTTCTAACCTAAGAGGAAAATAAGTTTATTGACCACAGTTCTCCTTAAGTAGTATAACTTACTCATTTATAACATGTCAAGATAAATTTAAAAGAACCTCTGTCTGAAAATGCTGCCAGGAGCCTATTGTGTAAATGTAGGTATTTTGTAAAATAACCTTGAAACTGTAAATTGACACGTGTTTGGTTCAGATAGTGTCAAGTTTGATTTTTTTTATCTGAAACCTACTTTAGCAATAATTAATTCCATGATTGCCACAATCTGCCATTAAAGGATATATTAGCATCGACATACTGCAGTAATCTTAATGATTATGAACTTTGGGGTGGGCAGCTTCTTTGTTTCTTTTCTATCCACTCATGTCAGTTAAGGTATTTGTTTCTTGACTAATAAACCCTTTGATACTTTTAGCCAGAAATCAGTCTCATAAAGCTATTTTTGAGTATAGTTTGTGTAAAATAAAAACGTTTGGCTTTGGTAATAACTTTTCCAAGCTGAACTCCCTCTAGCAAGATATTTTTCAGTGCTTTTATTTACTATGCACTTAGACTATGCACTTTTTCTGAAATATTTTTGTAACACTTAACTTTTTTGTATTTTTGCCATTTGAAAAGGTTGTGGTTGTAGTTGGTCTGTAATTCAGTTGCAGATTTAAAACTGTTAGCTTTGTAAATCAAAATATAGGTATTCTTGTGTGGTATATCTTCATTCCGTCTGCAGCTGGAGCTGGAATCCCATTGATCTTCTAGCTACCATTCATTTTCTTCACAGTTCTCAGAAGAAGAATGAAATTGAGTGAATGATGTTACTAATCCTGTCGGGAGATGAATCTCATTTCACCAAAATTAAATTATGTTTTTCCACTAAAATGACACAAGTTGAAGACACATCACTCTGAAATTGGAAGACCTCACCATTTTAAGGCTCCACAGTGGCTTACTCCGCTGAACTCTAGGTTACTTAACTGCTCTTTACTTTGTTCACCCATTGGGGGGTGCAGTTTTTTAAATGTTGGGAGATGGCCATTCTAACTACTGTTGATTGTCTGTTTTGGGAAGGTATAACAAAATAAAAAAGAATATATATGAAGGGAGAGACTGGTTATCTCCTCCCATATGGTTGTGCTCATGCTCTTATAGCCTACAAATGGATTTTTGGAGGTTTGCTTTTACTAATACTAAGATTTTTCTATTTCTACTAGTCCTTGCAATTTTGTTAAATGTTTCAAGCAGAGTATACTGTAACAATTACAAACTTAATTCCATTATAATAAAAATACTAGACAAAAGGATTTTATAGCCCAAGCCAATGAGCTAGTTTTCCCTAAAACTTGATGAAATAACAAGAATAGGTTTTTGTGACTTAACTAGAATGAACCATGGTATTTCTAGGAGGTTGGCCTGGATGTATTTAGCTTAGTGTCTGAAAATTCAGCCATAGGCTGTAGATAACAAGACTGAGCCAAACCAATATGTAGCAGTATTTTGTGGCTCAGGTGTACTGTCTTGAAGTGAGACTATGAAACTCTTACTGAGTTACATTACTGTTGCTCATAACATTTGGGGGCTTTTACCCCAAGAAACTTATACTTCACCTCGAGTATATTTACTGATGGACAGGTGGTTTAAGTATACTTGCAAACATCGAAGAATCAAGTTTGTCTGATTGGGGTTAGTGCATTCTTAATTATCAAGTATATTGAAATAGAATGATTTGTTTTCTGAAATTACTTGGTTAAACCAGTTTTGAGGACATAGGCAAAAGGGCAATGAAAATGCTGAGCAATAGCAGAGCTATTAGAAAAACCAGCTTAGGAGAACATGGTTGGAGTTGGTCAAATGCATTGTGTCTACTGGTTGAAGTTATATACTGCAGTGAGAACGCAGAATCAACTTGTTTAAGAGTGCTCTTGGGAATCCCACTTAATTACTTTGTTTGGTCTCTGCACCTTTTTAGCCTGATGGAGTGAATTGGCTCATTCTGTCTTGCCTTTACCAAACTGGTTCCTGGAAGGGACTTTTTTGAGGAACTTCTCTTGCCTAATTTATGGAAAGTATATAATAATGATGGTAAGTAGTGGGAATAGTGTCCATGTGTCAAAGCACCTAACAAAGTGAAAAGAGGCCTTGAAAGATAAGTTAGGCTCTCATAGCAAGCATCCTGCCAGAACATGTAAGTCAGTTATTCATCTGATAGCTGATGCAGGATATTCTGTTCTTATTCCCTATTTATCACTATGCTCATGTTCTTTTTTAAACATCCTTTTTTATTTTTTCACAATATAGAATTTCTTCCATTGGGTGTGATCACCACTTTTCCCACCATCAAAGCACCCATAGTTATCCAGCATATTCTGTGCTTGCTTTCCCCCACCCCCTCTTGAATATCTCAGACCTCAATCACTTGTTTTTCATAGGTAAGCATTTGTGTAGAGTTTAAAGAAATTCACACCTATTTTGGCATCACAGCACACTCCAAATGGGTTTTAGACTGTCAGGAGTTGTGCTTGCTATGTGGAATTCAAAGGTGGCCAAGACAATCTCTTTAAAGGCTCTTGGTGGTATTGGTAAGGAGTCTTTTACCATACTAGCCATTGCTAAAGAGTAAACATTTGAATGTGGTGGGAGTACCTAGGTGGTCATCCATCTTGGTCTTGGGTTGTTTCAGGCTTTGGAGAAGAGATAAGAAATCCAGGCAAATGTAGAAGCAGATTTCTTAGATGGAGAAGAGCAAATAAAAAATCAGAAGTAAAGCTAGAAGAATAAAATAGCTAAAGAGCAAAGAGATGAGCACAACAAAGTAATCCCTGAATGATTGTCAAATGAATGAAAAAAAATTGGCTGAATGAAAAAAATTGGCGGCGTTAATTACAGCTGTTGTAGAAAATTGGGATCATTCCACAAAAGGAAGTAGCCTGAATAGGAAGCTGACCATACCCGAGTCCTAAGTAGCGACCTTTAGAGTCCATTTGAGTATAGACAAAGCTGTTAGGAGGATGAGGTCATCCAACAGTAATGAGAAGACAGAGGCCTACCCTGTAGATAATGCCTGTTCCATCAAAATCATGAAAAATAAAGGAGTGTTTGTGAAGGTGGCAAGAACCACGGTTGGGTTTTGGAGGGAATTGAGTGTGGTTCAATTCCAAATAGATCTCATACTTGGTCATGTGGATTTCACTTGTAGGGAGTAGGTCATCCCATATTGAAATAAAATTGAGCAGCTTTATAAAACTTCACGTTGCTAACCAAAAAGAAAGTGACTGCCAGTACCAAAATGTAGGTGTTAAAAACATTCTTACCTACTTTTCTCAATGCCATTAAAAATGTTAGCGATTGGTGGTTGTAACATTCTAAGAAAAATTTTTGTTGTTTCTCATTGATGGAGAACAAATTGCCCATTTATCTACCAAATAATATGATCATGGTTCAAAAAACAAGTGAGAGCTTAATAGTGAATTGAGTCAGTATCCTTAGAAACTTTTCTGTAAGTCTCTGCCTTAACAGTTGCTTTTAATCTTCTTTGTAATTTAATTTTGAAAATTATGGTCTCAGGGATACACAGTGATCTCCCTTAATGCTTTTTACACAGTTTTCACATACTGTTTATTTTAGCTTTTGCTCCATTTACCGTTTGTACATTAACTGAAAACACATAACCATTTGGAAGTGGTTACAGAATCATGCCACTTTACACCTGGTGTTTACTTCTGACATCAAACACATGGCACTGTTATCAAAGTCACACCTTTTTTAATATAGTTTTATTTCACCAGTTATCCTAGTATGAAGTTGTACAGGATCCAGCACAACATTACTGTGCTTAGTTGTGTGTGTGTAGTTTTGGCTAATTTGGAACAGTTCCTCACCCTTTGTTTTTCATGGTTTCAGTGTTGTGTGTGACTGTAATGTTCTATTTAATTCCCAATTGGGTTCACTGTGGTCTGGAATCATAACTACAGTAGCAATGAGCACACCTAGCGTCCAGATCTTGATTTCTAAATACAGGAAGGAACGATGGCTTCTTGGAGAAAGTCTGACTTCAGGGCTGGGGCAGAAAAAGCACAAGATGAACATGGAACATGATGTGCAATGAATCCTGAAAGTGATGGGTGCATGTCGAGAATACAAGAGCCACTTAAAGGGTTTATCAGCTAAAAAAGTTTAAAGGAATGATGCATTAGAAAAGTAACCACTTTGTTTAAAGTAAGTGCAAAGTTGATGGACAGAACATTTAGATTGTCTTTAGTATTTCTCTACATGTTGCTTACTGAGGGACTTGTCTAAAAAAATACCCGGTCTGAACATTATATTTCTTGTGCATCAAATGTGTAATTTTATTGAATTGAGGAACATTGAATATGGAGACCATGCATGTACCTAGGAAATACATACTTGAGGTCATTTAAGATGGCATTTAAGTCAGTACCTTACTTTGAAAACATTTAAAACCGGTGGGGGGGGTGGGAAATCCCTTGCCAGAATTGTTTTTGAGGAATTTTAAATGTTACTGCCTAGGCCAGTCTCCTGTGAGACCTGTTTCTCTGCTCCCTTTGCTTATGGCTCTTTCTCCCTTGTTCCAGCTGAGGAATCAGCTGGTTTGACAGTAGGTGATGCTGGAAGACCACGGCGCTGTCCTCCAGCATCATATCCCTATCCAAGACCCTCTGAGTAGGCGCTAGGCACCAAGGCTGGGCCATTCCTTCTCTGAATTACTAAGGCACATCCTCAAAAGGCACGGATTCCTGGAGCCTGACTGTAAATGACATTGCTGTCACCTTTAAGACCTCTTATTCCTGTCTTGGGAAAGGGTAGACATCTCAGGAGCTTACCAGAGAAGGTTTTGGGTACTCCTTGCTAGTCCTCGCAAACCAAACCCTCATGTTAAAGGCAACCATGGTGGCCTGACAATAAAAATATTCTTAACGTCTTTCGATCCTCATTCTCAGTTGAAAAGGTGGTAAGATCATCCCCATCTTAAATTATGGAACACTAAGTTTCATAGACTATCTTAAAGAATTAAGGAATTTAAATCCACGTAGAACCCTTTACAGTCTTCAAAATTCTTAAGTACATCTCAACCTTGTAACAATCATGAAAACTTACTTTTTTCATTTGATAAGAACTGAGAAGTACAGACCACCCAAGGTTGCACAACTTTGTCAGTTATGCAGAGCCGGGACTGAAACTTGATTTTCCTTTTGTCACCATTTTAAAACCAGAGATCATTACTCACTCATGGTTGAGGGCTATTCTCAGGTACGTTTCTACGTGCTTCACATGTATTGATTTTCCAGTCCTCAATGGTTTCCCTTGAGGTAACTCCTGGCTCCATTTTACATTTGAGGATATTTGAACCCTAAGTTGGAAAAGGTAGTTGTGTTCTCTTGGCTTCTTAAATAACATTTACCCTTATAAAAGAACTTGTACTATATATTATTTTTGTGTGTATGTATATATATGTACACACACGTAGCAAGTATCAAATGGGGTGACAACCTTAGAGAACTTAAAATCTGAAATGATGTAATAGAGCTTTCATCATTTATGCACCCAACTGTTGCAGTTAGCAGAGTTCACTTTTAGGACCAAGTACTAGAGCTTGTTTTCTTCAGTCTCACGGGGGGTAAGTGAGTGGATGGAAATGAAGCCCAAAAATATTGTAACCAACCCAGCCAAGTACTTTCCACACTAAAAAATATGCCCTGGGCCTCCCCGGTGGCGCAGCGGTTAAGCGCTGGGTTGTGAAGCTGCCCGCAGCCTCTGCAGTGCCAGTTAGATCCCCGACCACAGCGCTGGTTCGATCCCCGGCCACCGGGCGAGGGTCCCACATGGCGCGCAGACCTCTCCTGCCACACCCACTGCTCCCCTCAGCAGTGTGCTTCGGTCCTTCTGCCTGTTCTGTTCCCTGCTCTGACTCTGGTGATTTCTCTCACCCTCCCATGCTTCTGACTGTACCCAGTGCTTGTATAAATAAATAAATAAATCTTTAAAAAAAAAAAATATGCCCTGGTGACACAGGTCATTATATGAGAACAATTCTGGTACATGTTGCTTGTGTCAATCTATCACC